AGTTCCACTTATACTTGGAGCACCTGATATAGCCTTCCCTCGAATAAATAATATAAGATTTTGACTTCTACCATTTTCTCTCACTCTTCTTCTTACAAGAGGAATAGTAGAAAGGGGTGTTGGAACCGGATGAACAGTTTACCCTCCTCTAGCAGCATCAATTGCTCATGCTGGGGCATCAGTTGATCTTGGAATCTTCTCCTTGCATCTAGCCGGGGTCTCCTCAGTTTTAGGAGCTGTAAACTTTATAACTACAGCAATCAACATACGAACAAGGGGAATAACCATAGATCGAATACCTTTATTTCTATGGTCCGTTTTTATTACCGCGGTGCTTCTTCTTCTATCCCTTCCAGTTCTAGCAGGAGCAATTACTATACTTCTTACAGACCGAAATTTAAACACTACTTTCTTTGATCCAGCTGGTGGAGGTGACCCTATTCTTTACCAGCACTTATTCTGATTTTTTGGACACCCCGAAGTTTATGTTTTAATTCTCCCAGCTTTCGGCATAGTCTCGCATATTGTTACACAAGAATCAGGTAAAAAAGAAGCATTTGGAACACTAGGAATAATTTATGCCATAACAGCAATTGGGATTCTAGGGTTCCTAGTGTGAGCAGACCACATGTTCACCGTAGGTATAGACGTTGATACTCGAGCATATTTCACATCAGCAACCATAATTATTGCCATTCCAAAGGGAATTAAAATCTTCAGATGATTAGGAACTCTTCAAGGTTCTCAATTCTCATACACGCCTTCACTTCTGTGAACCCTAGGATTTACTTTCTTATTTACAGTAGGCGGTTTAACAGGAGTTATTTTAGCAAACTCCTCAATCGACATTATTCTTCATGACACCTACTATGTTGTAGCCCATTTCCACTACGTCCTATCTATAAGAGCCATATTTGGGATTTTTGGAGGCATTGTCCATTGATTTCCCTTGTTTACTGGATTTTCTCTGAGCCCTTCGTGGTTAAAACCTCATTTCTTTACTATATTTCTAGGAGTTAACTTTTTTTCCCCAGCATTTCCTAGGATTAAATGGCATAACACGACGATATTCGGACTATCCCGATGCTTACACATCATGAAATATTGTTTCATCAATCGGATCACTTATCTCGCTAGTAGCCGTCTTCTGATTCATAATTATTGTTTGAGAAGCTTTTATATCAAAATATAATATTACCTCACCAGCCTTCCTACCTTCATCAATTGAATGACAGCACCCTCACCCTCCTGCTGATCATAGGTACGCAGAAATTCCCCTAATTTCTAATTACAGTGGACCCCCGCATAACGATATTAATCCGTTCCTGAGAGCTCATTGTTATGCGAAATTATCGTTATGCGAATGAATTTTCCCCATAAGAAATAATGGAAATCAAATTAATCCGTGCAAGACACCCCAAAGTATGAAAAAAAAAATTTTTACCACATGAAATATTAATTTTAATACACACAAACTGAAAAAGGCATGCACAATTACATGACACTTACCTTTATTGAAGATCTGGTGATGATTGATGGGATGGGAGGAGGAGAGAGTCTTAGTGTTTAGAAGGGGAATCCCCTTCCATTAAGACTTGAGGTGTCAAGTCCTTTTCTGGGGTTACTTCCCTTCTTCTTTTAATGCCACTAGGACCAGCTTCAGAGTCACTAGACTTCTGTCGCACAACATATCTGTCCATAGTGGCCTGTACCCCTCGTTCTTTTATGACTTCCTTAAAGTGTTTCACAACATTGTCAGTGTAATAGTCACCAGCACGGCTTGCAATAGCTGTGTGAGGGTGATTTTCATCCATAAAGGTTTGCACTTTCAGCCACATTGCACAGATTTCCTTAGTCTTTGTAGTAGGCAACTTCTTCAATTTCTCTCTCCCCTCCTCCGAACCAGTTTCCTCAGGTCTGGCCTCTTGCTGTTGAAGTTGATCTAGCAGCTCATCAGAGGTTAGTTCTTCATTGTCCTCCTCCACCAACTCTTCCACATCATCCCACTAACCTCCAACCCCAAGGACTTTCCCAATGCCACAATGGATTCCTCAACTGGCATACTCCTCAGGTTAGCCTGAAACCCTTCAAAATCCCTTTGGTCTACACATTATGGCCACAGTTTCTTCCAAGCAGAGTTCAAGGTCCTCTTAGTCACTCCCTCCCAAGCCTTACCTATAAGGTTTACACAATTGAGGATATTAAAGTGCTCTCTCCAAAACTCTCTTAGAGTCAGTTGAGTTTCTGAGGTCACTACAAAGCACCTTTCAAACAGAGCTTTTGTGTACAGTTTTTTGAAGTTTGCAATAACCTGCTGGTCCATGGGCTGCAGGAGAGGAGTGGTATTAGGAGGCAAAAACTTCACCTTAATGAAGCTCATGTCGCTCTGCCACGTCTGTAGGATGACCAGGGGCATTGTCTAACACCAGGAGGCACTTAAGGTCTAATTTCTTTTCAGTTAGGTAATCTTTCACATTGGGGACAAATGCATGGTGTAACCAGTCATAGAAAAAGTCCCTAGTGACCCATGCCTTACTGTTTGCCCTCCACAGCACACACAAATTAGCCTTGAGGATATTCTTTTGCCTGAACGCTCTGGGAGTTTCTGAGTGATACACTAATAAAGGCTTCACTTTGCAATCACCACTAGCATTGGAACACATCAACAGAGTAACCCTGTCTTTCATAGGCTTATGTCCTGGGAGTGCCTTTTCCTCCTGAGTAATGTAGGTCCTGCTTGGCATTTTCTTCCAAAACAGGCCTGTTTCATCACAATTAAACACTTGTTCAGGTTTCAGTCCTTCACTGTCTATGTACTCCTTGAATTCCTGCACATATTTTTCAGCTGCTTTGTGGTCCGAACTGGCAGCCTCACCATGCCTTATCACACTATGTATGCCACTATGCTTCTTAAATCTCTCAAACCAACCTTTGCTGGCCTTAAGTTCACTCACATCATCACTAGTTGCAGGCATTTTTTTAATTAAATCCTGATGCAACTTCCTAGCCTTTTCACTTATGATCACTTGAGAGATGCTATCTCCTGCTATCTGTTTTTCATTTATCCATACCAATAAGTCTCTCTCAACATCTTCCATCACTTGCGATCTCTGTTTCGAAAACACAGTTGAACCTTTGGCAAGAACAGCTTCCTTGATTGCCATTTTGTTGCCCACAATAGTAGCGATGGTTGATTGGGGTTTATTATACAACCTGGCCAGCTCGGAGACACGCACTCCACTTTCATACTTATCAATGATCTCTTTCTTCATCTCTATAGTAATTCTCACCCTTATTGCTGTAGGGTTGGCACTAGAAGCTTTCTTGGGGCCCATGGTCACTTATTTTGCAGATAAAATGACCAAAAACACTGTAATAATACGAAATGTTCCGATTGTATGCTTGGATGTTACCGCGGAGGCTGGCTGGTAAACAATGCCACCGGCAGAACATGTGAGGCTGGCTCAGGCCGCACATTAGACGCGTCTCGGACGAACAGCGTTGAGCGGGTTTTTTAGCGGTATGTGAGGCAAAATCTTAGCGATAAAATGTATCGGTATGCAGATTTAACGTTATGTAAGGCCAACGGTATGCGGGGGTCCACTGTATCTAAAATGACAGATAGATGTATAGGATTTAAGCTCCTACTAGGAAGGAATACCTTCTTTTAGAAATGCCAACATGAGGATGTTTAGGACTTCAAGACAGCGCCTCCCCACTTATGGAACAATTAACATACTTCCACGATCATGCAATATTTATTCTTATTCTCATCACTACACTAGTAGGTTATATCTTAATTAATTCAGCACTAAACTCGTTTATTAACCGTTTTTTACTCGAAAATCAAGAAATTGAAATTGAATGGGTACCTGGGAGTTAGTTGACTGGTGTGGGTCACATACTGGGACAAAACTAACCTAATTTGCCTGAAATGCTCTGCATAACAAGCGGCTTTCTGTATACAGTGATACCTCGCACGTTCAGCCTGCCATTATCCGAACATCACCAATATTCAAACAGGCCCTGAGAAAGGGCAAAATTCTAAAATTATTACCAAAACATCCGAACAGCCATTCGGATATAGCAGAAGGCTGAATCAAACTTGGCACGCATTTTAGTGTGCCAGTTGAGAACTAGGAGATGCACATAACAAGCGGCTTTCTATATACAGTGATACCTCACATGTTCAGCCTGCCATTATCCGAACATCATCAATATTCAAACAGGCCCTGAGAAAGGGCAAAATTCTAAAATTATTACCGAAACATCCGAACAGCCATTCGGATATAGCAGAAGGCTGAATCAAACTTGGCACGCATTTTAGTGTACCAGTTGGCTAGGAGACGCGTTCTTTGCCTACCTTTTAGCATTATTACAGCTGTGTTCTATCCTAGCTATCTTGTGTATGGCACCAAAGAGGGCCAGGAATGTGCTTACCCTAGAAAAAAATAAGAGGGAAATATTGTCGCATGTGGATGCAGGTTGTAATAAAGTTGGTAGAATTACCGACAATATGTAAAGTAAAAGGACACAAGTGCAACTAATGTGACATTTATTGTGGCAACGTTTCGCTCTCCAGGAGCGAAACGTTGCCACAATAAATGTCACATTAGTTGCACTTGTGTCCTTTTACTTTGGATGCAGGTTGGTCCAAGGCTGGGGAAAAAACTGTTATTCGAGCCCAGAGTGGCTGGTCCTACCGCTAGACGATGTTGGACTCATTTTTTACACCTACTACGCCATTGGTGATGGCAATATGATGGGGTACAGATGGCGATATAACAGTACAGATGTGCATCCCCCCCGTCATGTATCCGGAAACTCCGAATTTCTGAACCGGTCTCAGCCCATATAGTTCGGATATGAGCGGTATCACTGTAGTAGTATGTCACTGATGTCAGCTAGGGCAGTATACCATGTACGTGTACTTGTAGTTAATAAAGATATTTATTATTATTATTATTATTTATTATAGAATATTAGCCCTTAAACTGTCAGTTTGGTAGATTTACATCAGTGATATAAGTGTCTGTACCATATAAATCATAGCACCTTCAAATTCGGTGCAAGAGGCCTGCAAGGTCTAAGCATAAGAAAATGGGTCCTCACAGTAGGTGTGCTAAGTATGCTAAAAATTCTGGCCCCCCACAGTGCCTCATGGGAACATTTCAGTCCACCATGGTGCACCAACATAATTCTCTTACTCCCAAGCGATTAACATGTTATTGTTCAACCAAGACAAGTTCCAAAAATGAGGCTAATGATTCCAGAAAGGAGTTCCCTAGATTCGGGATGAAAGTGACATGGGAAATTTCTAAAAAAATCGCACATGGAGAGGGACCCATAAGCTCTATTATAAAGCTTCTCTACACAGTCTTGACTGTTTTTTGCAAGTGACAATGTCTTTATAGTAAGTGCTATTCAATACTGGATATAGTAACAGCCTGGTTGATCAGGTCCTGATCCACCGCGAGGCCTGGTTATGAACCGGGTCATGGGGGCATTGACCCCCAAAACACCCTCCAGGTATATAGGGAAGTATACACAAATAACCCACACATAGGAGAGAGAACCTTATGACGACGTTTCACTCCATTAACAAATTACACTAGCAAAAGAGAAAGAGGGAGCCAGTATGGCGAGTCCTTGACTTCCAAACACATTGGGGGCCTTATGTATTGTGTATAATAATACCTAATAATGATGTACACAATAATGATATACACAATACAGAAGACTCTCAACGTGTTTGTAGGTTGAGGACTTTCTGTATATATGAGGGAAAGAGGGACAGGACCAAGAGAAGAAGACAAAGAAGTGGTAAGGCTGGTGGCGGAAGTAGTGTCAGAAGTGACAGTGGTAGTCAAAAGTTGAGAGAGAGTAGTTCTAGTGATAAAATAGAAATGGAAGCTTTGCCAGAGATTATTGACAGTTAACGACTTGGAGTTGGCAAAATAACTCACCGGCGATGGCCTCACTCGCATTTTTTTGGTGGATGATTTTTGGATGTCAATCTTCCGTTTCAAACGGCTGTGAATTTTGTTTGCCGGTTTGAGATGAGTGTCATTCCCATCCGCTGGTCTGACATGAGAGTCATTCTCATCCACTGGTCTGACATGAGAGTCATTCTCATCCACTGGTCTGACATGAGTCATTCTCATCTGTTGGTTTGAGACAAGTGTTGCTTACACCTGGTGTCTTAAAGTTGCTGAACTTGGCAGAGTTCTTCCTCGCCGAGACAGAGCATGGCACACCTTTGGAAATACAGTGGACCCCCGGTTAACGATTTTAATCCGTGCAAGAGGGGTAATTGTTATGCGAAATAATCGCTATGTGAATGAATTTTCCCCATAAGAAATAATGGAAATCAAATTAATCCGTGCAAGACACCCAAAAGTATGAAAAAAAAAATTTTACCACATGAAATATACATTTTCCCACACACAAAGAGAAGGATACATGCACAATAGTAGAGTAGTACATGCACAGTATATATTGTGCATGTACTAGTCTACTAAATGAAGAATAAATGACACTTACCTTTATTGAAGATGCAGCAATGACTGATGAGACACTGCGTCCGGGGAGTGCCTTTTCCTCCTGAGTACTGTAGGTCCTGTTTGGCATTTTCTTCCAGAACAGGCCTTATCACACTGTGTATGCCACTACGATTCTTAAATCTCTCAAACCAACCTTTGCTGGCTTTAAATTCACCAATATGAGCACTAGTTCCAGGCATTTTTCCCTGTTCACCTGGGTGTTAGTCGACTTGTGTGGGTTGCATCCTGGGAGACAAGATTAAGGACCCCAATGGAAATAAGTTAGACAGTCTTCGATGACACTGACTTTTTGGGTTATCCTGGGTGGCAAATCCTCTGGGGTTAATTGTTTCTTGGTATTCTCAATAAGCCACACCAACAACGGTGCTACAGCAGCAGCAGCAGCTGACAGTGCAGCAGCAGCAGCAGCTGTACCACCAATAGTAGCGATGGTGATTGGGGTTTATTATACAACCTGGCCAGCTCGGAGACATGCACTCCACTTTCATACTTATCAATGATCTTTTTCTTCATCTCTATTGTAATTCTCACCCTTATTGCTGTAGGGTTGGCACTAGAAGCTTTCTTGGGGCCCATGGTCACTTATTTTCCAGAAAAAGCACCGAAAACACTGTAATAATACGAAATATTCCGATTGTATGCTTGGATGTTACCGCGGAGACTGGCTGGTAAACAATGCCACCGGCGGAACATGTGAGCGTGGCTCAGGCCGCGTCTCGGACGAAAATCGGTAAGCGGGTTTTTAAGTGGTATGTGAGGCAAAATTTTTGCGATTAAAGTAAGCGGTATGCGAAATAATCGCTATGTGATGCCATCGTTATGCGGGGGTCCACTGTACAATACTCTTATCAGTGATATTTCAACTTTACGATGGTGTGGCAGCAATTGCTTTGGAGATTAAACTTAAGATAATTACCCAACATGAAAGCAGCAAGTCCTTAATTTGTATTCATTTATTTACTCTCCAGTGACAGCAGTTATTTATTTACTTATTTATTATATACAGTCTCTTTTCACTTACCGATGGAGTTCTGTTCCTAAGACCACATCGGTAAACGAATTTGTCACTAAGTAAGGAGCATACATACTATAATGGTAGTGAGTTTGTGTCAGCCATCTTTGATATTGTTTTAATGTCACCTCTGCACCATTTATAACATTTCTGGTATATTTTTAAATGTTTATACAGTAGTGTACTGTATATTGTAATAAACAGAATAGAGGAAATCCACTCTGATATATATTATTTAGGTATGCATAGTGGTCAGAGAACCCATCGTAAGTCCGAGGCATCGGTAAATGAGTACATCAGTAAGTGAGGAGAGGCTGCATTCATATTCAGCTTACAATGTTTTCAATGTGCGATGGGTTCGTCGGTACATAACTGCATTGTAAGTCAAGAACCACCTGCTAATCCCTGGATTAAGGTAAGCTCACACTTGGTAATTCCCTACAATCTATTACGTTTAACAAGCTAATTACAACTTACCATCTTTCCCGTCAATCAAGTTGCCCTTATTGTGGTTTTTGGGATCTTCATGAACATCGCCTTTCTGAAAGTGTCAAAATATGAATTTTGAAATTACAGCATTGTTAAATCTTAAGGATAAGTTGGATCATCAATTATCCAGCTCCACTAGAAAATTGATTATGGAAGGATAAGTTGGATCATGGATTACCCAGCACCGTTGGATGGAGATTGCCAACAGTGGCTTTCTGAAATGTCGAAATATGAATGATAAAATTCTAGCATTGTCAACCCTTAAAATGTTCAAATGTAGATCTACATTCACTCGCATAGCACTGCAAACATAGATCTATGTTCGATTTTACATGCTTATGTAAAAAAAGTAGATCTATGTTCGGAGCGTTACATGTGTGAACGTAGATCTACGTTTGGACAGTTTAAGGGTTAAATCTCAAGAATAAGTCAGATCATGGATTATCCTAAACTGCTGAATGGAGATTGCTAACTGGTAATCATGTTGTTATCCCTACTGGCTGCACATTTACTTTCCATCAAGATTACACCATTATTAAATCTGCATGATGTAAATGATTTGGAAAATCCACAGGTTGAAAAACATGGCACTTGTGCAACATTTGGGAACCTTGATTGAGGAAATGCTTCACCAGCCAGTGGCTTCTTCAGTCCAATACAGAAAAGAACAGCGAAAGATGAGGAGAATGAGGTACATGTAACCAGTCCAATGGCCTCATGGATACGTCGGATCATAGCTTATCCAATGCCATTGGAGGGAGGTTGTCGTTAATTAATGGATATAAGTCCCTCTGACTTTTTTTTGTGTTATCTTAGTGGGTAATTTACATTATGTATAATAATTGTAGTTATGTGTATCTGTACCTAAATTTACACATCATTATGTATGATAATTGTAGTTATGTGTACCTGTACTTAAATTAACTTACAGAATGCATAAATGGTGTCAAAATCACTGGCAGAGTTGAACCTTCGACAAAATACTATGATTGGAAAAAGAAATTTGTCTACTGGAGAACAAAAACCAGAGTATTTTTTGTTTTGTTTTTTCGCAAAACTGAATACACCAGGAGTGTGCCGCTACTCTACATCTAAATCTAAAGTAATCTTTAAGCATTAGAATTAGTTTGCACAAAATGAATTACATACTAGTGGCTTTATGTATTTTACTACACGTGGTATATTACATATTTTGTACCACATAAATAAAAAAATTTTACAGGAGGGTCCCACACATACAGGACCTCTTTTTGATGTTCCAGATGAGCCATTTCTCACCAGTGGGTGGAACATAATGAACAACATATTGTGCTGAAATAAATATTATTATCAATATTATTATTATTATTATTATTATTATTATTATTATTATTATTATTATTATTATTATAAATGTTCTACATAACTATGGGCTTTCTGTATATACAAATAAATGTCAGCCATCTCTGTACAAATATTGTAGCATGCTGAAATAAAATATTATGCTTATTATTATTATTATGATTCTTATTATTATTATGTATGATAATTGTACTTATGTGTACTTATGTGTCTAAATAAACTTAGGTGTTGAAATCTATCAGCCTGAGCTGGGAGACTTCAGTAGGGCAATGAGGACACTGCCAAGTACTGAAAAAAAACCATTCGGAGAGATATTGTTATTGATGTGAATGATGATGGAGGTTTTTTTTCTTTTTTGGGTCACCTGCCTCAGTGGGACACGGCTGATGTGTTAATTAAAAAAATATATTGTTAAATACGAACTTCCATCCTATACAGTGCAGTGTTGTTTTAACATTTACTCGCAATATTATAACAATCAGAAGTGATAAACCCTCAAGGGTCACACAGCTTTACTCACCACAGAAAGTGATGTGGTAGAACTAGTAGCACTTCGTGCTGGACGGGACCGAGGGCGTCGTGCTCGTTTTGAATGTTTTTTAATGGGCTTTTTTAAGGTTTGCTTTTTATTACGCTTTTTCAAGCTTTGCCTTTTTTTAACCCTTTGACTGTCGCGGCCGTATATATACGTTTGTGAGGTACCGTGTTTGACGTATATATACTCATAAATTCTAGCGGCTTCAAATCAGGCAGGAGAAAGCTAGTAGGCCCACATGTGAGAGAATGGGTCTGTGTGGTCAGTGTGCACCACATAAAAAAAATCCTGGAGCACGCAGTGCATAATGAGAAAAAAAAAAACTCCGACCGTTTTTTTTAATTAAAATGCCGACTTTGTGGTCTATTTTCGTATAGTATTGTGGTTGTATTCTCGTTTTCATGGTCTCAATTTGATAGAATGGAAACTATATTATAGAAATGGAGGTGATTTTGATTAATTTTACTATAAAAAGAACCTGGAAATGGAGCACAAAGTACAGGAAATGTTTGATTTTTGCCGATGTTCAAAAGTAAACAAATGATGTCATTGTCCAATAAATGTCCAAATAGCCATTCTAATACGCAGTCATGAATGGGTTGATGTAATTTTTACAATTATTACAGTATTGCAGTAGTCTGCATAACAGTAAATCTTCTATTTTTTGTTTGAATAAAATTTCAAAATAAAAAGCAAGAGTAATATCACAGGGACCTGGAGACATGACTGATGAACAAAGAAAATCTTATTTTAGAGCCAGGAATGTCTGCATTGTTCATTCTGGACCTTATTTTGAAATTGTCGTATTTTTTAATTTTCGTGAAATTGGCCAAATTGCAAATTTCTGACCATGTTATTGGGTAGTTGAAATCGGTAAATGGGCAGTTTCTTGTGCTCAATCGATAGAAAAAATAGAGTTCTGAAGAAATAGTTATGAGTTTGGTTGACTGGAATAACGGAATTAGCCAAAAATAGGGCTCAAAGTGGGCGAAATTGCCGATTTTTAAATATCGCCGAAGTCGCTAACTTCGCGAGAGCGTAATTCCGTCAGTTTTCCATCAAATTTCGTTTTTTTGGTGTCTTTACAATCGGGAAAAGATTCTCTATCATTTCATAAGAAAAAATAATTTTTTTTTTTTCGAATATTTTGCGACACCAGGAGCAACTTCAGGATTGGGCCCTTCGACAGTCAAAGGGTTAATTAAGGACTGTTTTTTGAGTGCTTTTATCTTAACTGACACACACAGAAGTGTCTTCTGTATCTGGTACTGACTAATGACCTGTTCCGGGGAAAATTTGTTTTTGGACTCCATGAGACATATCAGATCTTTCACACTCTTCAAACTCTCCTTCAGGGTCGGTGGAGGAATTTCCTCGTGACCATCAGAATCATCGGGATCGCTCTCAACGTTCTACTTAGCATTCTCAATAATGCTAATCAGGTCATCATCAGTTAGACGATCTGTTGTTGGGGCAGCATCGTCACAGTCTAGCCACTTATCAATGGACTCTTCCAGGTTCTCTGACTCAAACATTTTCTTCACTTCTGGAGCCTTGATAACTTTAACGTCATCTAATATTTCTTGTTTCACAGAGTTCCTCTTATTTATTCTCTTTGGTTTAAAACCTTCAAATTCCTCGTCGTCGGAATCAATAAAAGAAATGTCAGGCCAGAGTTTTCTCCAGCTTTTTTTCAAACCTGAATTTGTAACAAGTTCCCAAGCTTTTGTAGTATCAGAAATTGCTTCGTTAATGGTGAAACTTTTGTTAAATTCTTCCATACTTCCATTGTGTGTGATTAACCTCTGTATAAAAGTTTTCGTGTAATGAGCTTGTTCCATCGGTTGTATTAAACCAGTTTTACTGTCAGGCAAGAACTCTGCAAAGACATTACTTCTGCATAAATCTTGCAGCCTAGGGTGAGCGTTACTTTTGTCGAGCAACAATAGCGCCGTACTGTCTTCTGGACGACCCGTCTTGATGAAGTTTTTCTTGACTTCAAGAACAAAATGATTATAAAACCAATCTTGAAACAGAACTTGATTTATTTAAGAATCTTTGTGAACCCTATAGATGATCAGAAGTTTTATTCAGACCTTTAGGCTCAATACTGTTGCTTATCACAATTAATTTACAGCAGTGCATACCGGCAGCATTTGCACAACAAAGCAGTCAGTCGATCCTCATAATTCTGTGATTCTCCGTAGCGGCTGTGACTCCCCGAGGGAAACCTGCGCCAAAATAATCTGGTCTCGTTGATGTTATACACCCAGTCTGCCGTCAACTGGCGTCCGGTCACCAGTTCGGCAAACTGACTCTGGTAGCCGTCGACTTCACCGGCAGAACACTTCTCTCTGTTAAAGTTCTTCCTGGCGGTAATACCATGACGGGATCCAAACGACTCCAGCCAACCGGGGTAGAACAACACCATCTCTGTCATCCTCAATTTCCCGCAGAACTCTGACCTTGTCGCAGATCATCCATCCATAGACTGGCGCGTCCCGCTGTTCCTCATACTTCTGCTGATACCACAGCCACAACACCATGTCTAGCTCGTCCAGCCTAGACCTAACAACCATCCGCTTCGTCCTAGGCCTACCCCGAGGCCTACGCTTCACCTCCATAGTAACCTCAAACCACCCAATCCAACCTCAACGAATTCCCCTAACCCCACACGATTATAATCATAACAAAGCTCTAAACCCGCAAGGGACGTACAGCAACAACCCCCCCCCAATACAAAATTCGTTCGAGTTACCACCAGCCAAAAAAAAGCCTTCCCTCTAGGCTCTTATTTATGTCAGTTTTTCCGCTCAATTTTCAACACAACACTTGTAATGTTGCACTTTGTTGCAGCTGCAGTTGTCTCAAGTTCCTGCTAGTGCATGATCAACAGCTATCATGCAAAGATTGCAACAAGTGAAGAAGAACGTCCCGCCCTGAGTCTGTAGTTATTGTTATTGTTGAGTTGTAGGGTCACCACGGTCCTAAGACCGTCTGGTTGTGTGGTCACCACGGTCTTAGGACCGTCTGGCTGTGTGGTCACTACGGTCCTAGGACCGTCGGGTTGTGTGGTCACCACGGTCCTAGGACCGTCTGGTTGTGTGGTCCCCACGGTCCTAGGACCGTCTGGATGTGTGGTCGCTACGGTCCTAGGACCGTCTGGTTGTGTGGTCACAACGGTCCTAGGACGTCTGGTTGTGTGGTCACCACGGTCCTAGGACCGTCTGGTTGTATGGTCACTACGGCCCTAGGACCGTCTGGTTGCATGGTCACTACTGTCCTAGGACCGTCTGGTTGGTCCTTTGTTTTGTGGTCACTACGGTCCTAGGACCGTCTTGTTGCTCCTTTATGTTGTGTAGTCACTACGGTCCTAGGACCGTCTGGTTGGTCCTTTATGTTGTGTGGTCACTACGGTCCTAGAACCGTCTGGTTGGTCCTTTATGTTGTGTGGTCACTACGGTCCTAGAACCGTCTGGTTCGTCCTTTATGTTGTGTGGTCACTACGGTCCTAGGACCGTCTAATTGAACACTAATGTTGTGTGGCCACCACGGTCCTAGGACCGTCTGGTTGAACCTTCATTTTGTGTGGTCACTACGGTCCTAGGACCGTCTGGTTGGTCCTTTATGTTGTTGGGTCACCACGGTCCTATGACCGTCTGGCTGAACACCATGGTCGTAGGACCACAGTGGCCTTGAGGATGTACATTAGTGCTTGAGATTTCCATTGAGATCATTTGGATGTCCATTAGCGTCCTTGGAATTTAAGAACATTAAGAAAAACCATCACTACAGCAGTCCTACTAGCCAAAGCTAGTCAGGTCCAACTCACACCACGCATACACCCACTCATATATTTATCTAACCTATTTTTAAAACTATGCAAGGTTTTAGCTTCAATGACGGTACTCTGGAGTTTGTTCCACTCATTCACAACTCAATTAAAAAACCATTGCTTTCCTATATCCTTTCTGAACTAAATATTAACAACTTGAATCATGGCTGCGAGTTCGTTTGGTTACGCCTTTGACACTTTAATTTTACCCCCGTTATCCTTTTTCCATTTATCCCTCAGTCCAGCCCAATAATTTTCGTCATACATACATATATCACATACGTATTTTTAAACATATATCACCATCACTATACCTCATATATCACAATCCGATACATAATCACTATCCTATACAATATCCCCACCTTACACTACAATTTCACCATCACTATAACTACAATATCACCATCACTATACATACATATACACCATCACTTTTCACTACATCTATCATTATCACTAATAACCCACTTTCCTTTCACATTCCCCACTTATCACCCCTAACATCTTTCACTATCACTATTCATCACATATTCACACACATTCACTACACTATCACTACACTATTCAACACATCTGTCACAGTCCTATCACAACATTACCACCACTTTATGCACTTTCCTATCAATTTTATCATATACATCACCATCATTTACAAAAGGACAGAACAACAAGATTCGGGGGTCACTAATTCTCATTATTTGATTTTGACCTTTATTGGGCTGGAGATATATAAATTTTTATCTTTTGTTTTCTATTTCCCCTTAAAAAAGAAATACTTAAATATAAATTTTTCAAAAAAAATTTCATGTATCTCGTCATGGTTTTGGCTTTTATCACTATTTTTGGCGGACTAATTGTATTTTGATGAGGGGGGTCCAGGAGCTGGAAAGAGGCCCAAAATGCGACTCCAAAAAGGGGGCCCCGGAAAGCTCCGGGGGCCTGAAAATCATTTTTCAAAATTTTTGCGGGCCCCCTGGGAGGGGGAAAAATTTTTAATTGTGTAATTATACCCCCCTTCAGCTCCTGAAAGCCAGGGGGCCCTTGGGGGGCACCAAACTCCTGCCGTTCTGGGAATCTTTTTTAGATTGTCCCAAACCATAAGGATTTTGAGGAGCTGGGATTTTCGCAGGACATGAAAAAACCTCCCGGGGATAATTCATCCTCCCAGGCGAGCTGTTTTCTGTGGGTGGTTGGCAGTGTTGGGAGTTTTGTACTACACTGGCGATTTTTCCCGACCAGGTTCTAAACCCACTAAAGTTACTGCCCAAACACAGTGGTGAGTGGTGGTTGTCCCCTCTCCATGATGATGCGGTCCCTAAACACCCCCCCAACCCCGTCCCCTCCGCAACCCCCCCCCATCACCACCCCAAAAACCCATCCCCTCCCCAAACCCATCCCCCCCCAAACCCACACCACCCCCAAACCCATCCCATCCTGAAACTCATCCAATCCCCAACCCACGGGGTAGGGAGTTTTTGTAACCAATGTACCCACTTTGTGCAGGTACGGACTGAAAAACGTTTCTAAAAAAATCCGGGGGTTTAATCAAATTCATGATGCCACAAGAGTCGAGGTCATCGGGGGTATGGCTTTGCAGTTTTTAAAAATAAAGCTTACAAAAAACGAGCTCTGATGCGGCCGGGCCATTGTTACTGGTCCGAGGCAGCCCCCACAGAAAATGACGTTCAGCCAGCACAACAAATATTCCATAAGATGAAAAACCCCAAAGAAAACCACCACCCAAAATGCACAACACCATGGAAAACCACAAATTCACCGTAATAAAAAAAATTTTTTTAAAACATTATAATGAAAAGGGGTTTTGGGAGTGTGACAACCCTTGGGTGCTCCCTCCCAACCAGGCCCCCCAGTTTTCCCAAGTTCCTGCCCCCCTTCAAGCCCAGGCCCCCCAGCTACCAATTTTCGCTCCCTTCAAGACCGGCTCCCAGCTACCAATTTCCTGCCCCAAAAAAACCCAGGCCCCCAGCTACCAATTTTTCTGCTCCCTTCAAGCAGGCCCCCCACTCCCAAAAGTTTCGCTCCCTTAAGCCGGGCCTCCCGCTCCCAATTTTCTGGTCCCTTCAAAAGGGCCTCCCACTACCAATTTTGCCCCTTTCAAAACCACCTCCCAGCTACCAATTTCCCCTGCCCCCTTCAGACCAGGCCCCCCACTACCTTCCTGCCCCCTTCAAAACCAGGCCCCCCACTCCCAAGATCAAAGTCAACACAAATTCACAAGTCCCACGAGCTTTTTTTGAGGAATAGACCAAACCCCTTTCAATCAAGCTTTTTTGTTGGTCAAAAATGTTTTTTTTTTTTTTCGAAAAAGTTTAAACTCGTAAAGTTAAAAAGGGACAAAAAAGTGTTTTTTATTATTTTTTTTTTATTTTTTTATTATTATTATTATTATTATTATTATTATTATTATTATTATTTTTAAATTTGTTTTTGTTGTTTTTGTTTTTTTTGTTTTTAAATTATTATTTGTCGTGAAATTTATTAAAATAAACTTGTGCACCCCAGTGCCCACAAAACACCATCACTACATCTTTCCTACTTCTTCACACAAATTCACCATCACATACACCCTTTTTCACTATCACTATTCACTGCATATATCACCACACTTTTCCGCTTTAAAACACCACATTTCATTTTTCACTATCACTATTAATCAAAAACATCCCCATCACTAAACAAAAGGGACAAACAAAAAATTCAGGGTCATATATTTTTCATATATTTTATTTTGACCATTATTGGGCTGGAGTTTTAAAAAAAAATTATTATTCTCTTTTTTTTCTATTTCCTTAAAAAAAAATACTTAAATATGGAATTTCAAAAAAAAATTCATTTTATTCGTCAGGTTGTTGACGTTTCACTATTTTTGGGGGGATATATTTTTTATTTTGAGGGGTGGGTCCAGGAGCGGAAAAGGGACCGAATGCGACCCAAAAGGGAGGTCCGGGAACCTCCGGGGCCTGAAAATCATTTTCTCAGAAATTTTGCGGGACCCCTGGGAGGGGGAAATTTTTTAAATTGTGATAATTAACCCCCTTACCCCCCTGAAAGCCGGGAGACCCTTTTGGTGGGCCCAAACTCCTGGCCCTTTTCTGGGAATCATTTTTGATTTACCAAGCCAGTAAGGATGTTAGGAGCTGGGATTTTCTTGCAGACATGAAGAACCCTCCGGGGTAATTCACCCCCGGGAGCTGGTTCTTCTTGGGTGGTTGTGACTGTAGGATTTTTGTACTACACTGGCGATTTTTCCGTACAAGCTTCTCAAGCCCACATTCTAGCACCAGAACCAGTGGGGGGGTGATTTTATACCCTGCTACCTTTTTTGAGAGGTACCTCAACACCCCCCCCAACCCCAGCCCCTCCGAAACCCCAACCCCATCCCCACCCCCAAACCCCCATCCCCCTCCCCAAACCCATCCCCCCCCCAAACCCTCACCATCCTGAATCATCCAACCCCCAAACCCTAAGGGGTATGGAGTTTTTGTAACCATGCCCCCACTTTGTGCAGGTACAGGACGTAAAACACTTCTAAAAAACCCGGGGGTTTTTAATCAAATTCATGATGCCACAAAGAGTCAGGGGTCAGTGGGTATGGCTTTGCAGTTTTTAAAAAAAAAGCTTACGAAAAAGGGCTCTGATGCTGGCCGGCCATGTGTTGACGGGTCCAAGAGGCAACCCCACGAAAATAGACGTTCAGCCCAACAAGCAAATATTCCATAAGTGCAAAACCCAAAGAAAAACCACCAGTCCAGAAGCAAAACACCAGGGACAAACCACAATTCACCGTAAAAAAAATGTTTTAAAACAATAAAGAAAAAGGGGTTT